GAATGATTGATTCATTTAAAGAAGACGTTATGTGCACTTAATCTAAATAACTCCAGTAAAATGAAACGTTCCTTAATGAGGCGAGTACGAGTTTACATTCCTACTCTTCAGAAACGCCATTTTGTCTTTAATCATTTGCTGTACAGATTCTACCCATGAACGACGAAATAACAAGAGCAATGACTTCTTTCGTAGCAAGTAGATACGAACGGCCGGTTTCACAGGCGCTTTGGGAGCGGGTGTTGACACCAACAGTTAGCAGCAAGAGTAAAGGCAACGCCGAACGGCTGAATCGTACAACTGATTGGGAGGCCTCCGCCAGGAGCAGCAAATTTACTTGACACATCGATTAGTTTGTGGCACCTGACGCAAGAATATCTTAAGCCGAATGCTCCGATGAGTGGTTTCCTGATCACTTCCAGGCGATTCCCGGAGTATCATCTTATCTAACGAGCTATCTTTTCCTTCCCATTCCTTTCCCATCGCCATTATCTCATTCCCTCCCCCATTCCTGGCGCAGAGAAAGAGAGAGGGGGAGAGGGAAGAGAGGAAAGGAGAGGGAGAGGGAGGAAAGAGAGGGAGAGAGAGGAAAGAGAGGGAGAGAGAGGAAAGAGAGGGAGAGAGGGGGAAGAGAGGAAAGAGAGAGGGGGGTGAGATGGAGTACGTCCTAACTTCCATACGCCGGTGAGAGGGCTCGCAGCCGTGCGGGAGCAACGCTTGCAGCGGGTGCGGGCGAGGGTGTGGCCGGAAGCAGCGGCGAACGGGAGCGCATCGCCGCTTCCGCCCATTGGTTAAGCGGCCGCCCCGCCCCCGCCGCGCCTCTCGGCGGTGCGCCCGTGGGAGGCAAGGAAATTTTCCGATCGACCCTCTGCAGTCAAATATTCATTTCACTTCAATAGTAATTTTCTTGTTTTCACGAGTGGGGCTACAACAGTACATATTTTCTCACATTATTTCTAAATTTGCAATTTTTGAAAATTTAGAGGATTCAGCGAAAATGAGAACCACCTCATATTTTAAGAGTTCATTCCTCTATCAGTGGAAAAAAATTGAAGAAAAAAATTGCAGCGGGTTTTGGGGAAACGCGTTTTTATAAATTGCATTAATTTCAAACACACATTATATGAAAATTACTCTACTTAAGAAAATGTAAGGATCTTTTTTAATGAACTCGGTTTTTACAATAAATTTTGTCTAAGCAAAAATATTTATGTTCGATTTTGTAGTTTTGAAATGTTAACGTATTGCAATTTTCGAAAATATAGAGTTCGCCAAAAATGGGATCAGCACAATAATTTGTACCGAGATATTTACGAGGAGAAAATTTAAATAAGAAATTGAAGGGATTTTTGAGATAAAAGTTGTTCAAAAAATTGCGCAGATGTCACGGAATATTACTAAAACTACTAGCGTTGACCAGAGACAGACGGACTAACAGACGCGTTGCCGTAATCGATTTTTCGTTATCAAGGACCAACAAAACAAGAATTCTGGCTACATCACATGTTAAAGAAAGTAGTTTAGTACGAGTAGAAACAGGATTTATCCACGTTTTCGTTAATTTAGTCGGCAATAAGAGATTTTCTGCTTAAAATTAGCCGTTTTCCGTCGTACAATTACATACCTTTCTCTTCCTACGAAATAAGTGCAAAAAAAGTAAAAATGGGGCTTGTTCATTTAATTTAATTTCACATTTAAGTCTGAAAATAGTCAATCGATTAATAATATTATTACTATTAAATAATGGAATTAGATGTCTAAGGAACCCTAAACTGGTTATGTAACAGTCCTCTTATTGAAAATTAAACAAGAACCAACTGCTACATTGGCAGACTCAGGAAGGTGAATTAAAATGAGAATTCAAAAAATGGTTATTAGTCGAGAACATAACCAGTCTTTACAAATAAACTTGAATATATGAACGTAAGTATCATCTAAAGCATTGGTTACCGGGTAGTATGTACACAGTGGTTATTAAGTGAATACTAACAGATTGCGAATGCTGTTAAGAAAACAGATGCTTTACGGGACTAGCGAACGCCAAATAGTGTGTTGATGTACACCAAGGAAATGTGAGCTTCTCTTTTAAGTAGTAAATTGGCGATAGTGAATGGTGCTCATTGGACATGAGCAAATACGTTTTCTAACTGTCAGTTTGTTTCAGGCAAACATTACAGACTCATGTAACATATCTTTGTACTGTGCTGGTCGTATTTTCTGAGGGTACATTGAATTGCATAGTACCATATAAGATATGAAAAGAACATTGTTAATTTAGTTTGTGCAGTGAAACTTCTCTTAAACGGTCACTAATGGTTCCAGCTGAAATTGGCCGTTTACTGGGGTGGTGGTGTTAGGTTATGACAATATAGGTGGCACACGTCTGATCTAATTGTGTTAATTGCAGTGAAATCAAATGTTTCCCTAGAATCATTTTATGTACCTTACCCTACAAAATACTCGTACAACGTTTAGAACTACATTTGATTTTTTAAATATCAAACGAAAGTGTTCATTCATGGTTTTTCTCACCCCACGAAGGGATTCCTTTGACAATGACTTTCAGATTCAATTCGCAAGCGAAGTCTGCTCCGACGTTGCAAATTTCTCACAGAGGAAAAAAAACAGAACATTTTACTGATGCAAAATGAGCGAAGCAAACACATTGCTTTTTTATCCATATATTTATTATAAACATTTTGTAACTTGAAATACAAGTGAATCCCCCTGCCAGTAAAACGATTGTAGATATCAGTGTTCTAAGTAATGCGACAATCCTTCCGGTCGCAAGAAGATCAAATGTATCTCCAAAACGTTTTTTGTACTTATTCTGTTACAGTTCCAAACAGCTAGAGGTGATCGCTTGATGGAGGTCAACCCATGCTTGGCCTCAAGCTCAGGAGGCCGCTGGAAAAAGGGAATTTTCTCACGTTTCTTACAGAAAAATTAATCGTTTGCACGGAAAAATTACCACTGTTACGATTGATGTAACCGCTTAATTGAGGTGACCGTTGAGTCACGTTTCACTGTATTGAAAATGAAATACAGCCAATTAAATATTTAAATTTTTCATTCTGCTGGCGTTCCATTAACAAGCGCGTTTTAATTGCTCGGAACCTGAAATGAATACGAGATGTAAGTCTCTTCAGGAAAACGAAAAAGTAAACTCATTGCTCATGGACAAAGCCGTAATTAGAAGGTTCAGTATTTGAGAGCATTGACCTCTACCGTAAACTTCCTGCAACATTCTGGAAAAATTTAAAACGGGGAAAAGGTATGTTTTGGATAGGGGTAAAGTATGTCAACAAATGTGCGCATTAGCAACCTCTCGTTATTAATCATGATAATGGGGAGTGATAAGTTATGTTTTCAGATTTTCGTACATATAGGAAGCTATTTTATTGCTATCGATTCAATGTGCTGTCATTCATCGTCATATCCTTGTGATATTTACGTATTAGTTACTGCGTAAGATTTGTTAATCTTTTCCCACATAAATACAAAATATTTCTTATAAAAACAACACCCCATCGATAAAAATATCCCTGCGGAGGTCTCGGACGTTCCTGCTGCGCACTTTACGGCCCTCTCGCCTTTTTGCTCGCACAGAGGAGCGGGGTTTTAAAGTGCCGATTTGCATACTGGCGCCCCCGCCCGCTCCCAGGTGCGCGTCGCGCTCCACGCTCATTTGTCCTCGGAGCGTCCGGTTGGTAAATCACGCAGATGTGTGCGGCGACGACCGCGACAGCTCCTAACGCGTTTATCACTCTCCCCGCGCGCGCCCGCGCGTGTGCGTACACGCATGCACACGAGCCCCTTCTGCGAGAGTTTCCTCCGTGACTTGCTTTCCAGTGGCTAGAACATTTAGCGTGCGAGCGTGTCATTACATGAGTGGAAGCGTACTGAACGTCATGCTCATTGAGGTTTTGAAAGTGTGACTGCAGTAATATTTTTAATGGTGCTGGAGCCCTGGTCATTTCAGATATGAATTTTCTCTGGGTGATATGAGCAAGCCCGTCGGAAACAGTTTGCGAGCCACTTGGTTTGAAATCAAAATTTTGACTTTGTGAAAATGCACGGCAGATTCAGTTGTTTTCACTGACCATTTGTTATTAATCATATTGGCAAGAATGATGCTTCGAAATCTGTAAAATTCTGTGTATATTGTAATGGAATAACTGTAGGTAGAGTCACGAGGTGGGGATTTTGCAGTCACATGCTGAGAATATAAATTAAATATGAAATTTGTTGTTGAAGATTATATTTTTCGATGGGAACTAGTGTTCATTTTAGTTGATTTAAAACGATAAAATAAGATAAAATGATAAATTACACCTGATTTAGGATTCATTTCTAGCTCAACTTCTGTGATGTGTACACTATTAAGAATACTTTGTACTTGTTCGTAATTATATTTTTTTTAAAGTAATATAAATAAAATTCATGCCATCCCCGTGGCGCAAAAGGTTGCGACAGCTGTCTTCTGCGCCAAGGAAGATGCATGTAGAGTAGGAATGATCGTATTTGTGATTGTCCCTTCACCCCTCATTATCATCGTATCACCTCATTATTCATAACTCAAGTAGAAAGAACCTTGTCTTATCAAGGGATACAGCCGTAAAAGGTTGATCTTCATAATTACACATTTTAATCGCTCCGGGGCCTCGGAAGATAACGTGCAGCGTGGTCATAAATGGCCAATACGCAAATAAATAATAATAATAATAATAATAATAAACTTAATTGGGTTTGAATGTTTCCAATTAATGTTGGAACATACTTGTGCAAGAATGATCGGTTTCCAGACTATGGCGTGGATGGAAAAGGAGGACCAGCAGGTATTCATAATACGAACTTACGTGTGTGAACGTCCCTACACCACGGCCACGAAACTCCGTCTCCCGGTCTCCGGGTACGCAACACGCACGTCGCACGCAGCGGAAGAGGCGGCGCTCACGCTCGCAAGCAGCTCGGCGCCTCGAGGCCGCGACCTCACCCACCTGCAGGAAGGTCCTCGCTCGCCGCGGCGTCTGCCAGGTGGCCGCGTGCCAACGTCAGCGCGCTGTCGCCGGGGGGTCGCACCGTCGCCGACGTCCTGCAGCTTCGGGTCGCTCTCCCCTCTCGGTTCGCCGCGCCACAGACGGACCCGTCTCTCGAGCCCGCGACCACCGCTGCCACGCTTATATACGCGGCGCGGCAGAGGTAGCGGCAGCGGCGGCGGCGGCGGCGGCGAGCGGGAGGGCGGGCTGCCTAACTGGCGGTGGAGGAGGAGGGCGAGGAGGTGGGAGCGAGGCGGTGGTCATGATGCGAGCGAATCGGCTGTCGCGTGGGTGTGGCAGGGAGGCGAAGAGACTAGCTGAAACGGGTACACGAGCGACGGTGGGGGCTGTCTGGGAGGAAGTACGAGTACACAGTTAGTTTGTAAGAGTGCGTACTGCAGAACTAAAGAACAAGTGTCATTCGAAAAATATTTAAAAATATACTCGATTAAAACAGTTTATAATCCCGATGGCAGCGGAAGGGGGTTAATGATGAGACAGAATGGATGAATTAGAACCCGGATGAGCAGGAGACGGCGATATCCATCCGGCTCCCCTCCCCCACACATGTCGCCACCTCCTCCACCTCCTCTACCTGTGCCCCTCCACTTCTGAATCGTCTCCTTATCGCCGCATGGCGTACGCGCCTCCGCCCCGCCCCACCCCTCCCCAACCCATCCGTTTGGAGCCGCACCGCTCGCTGAGCTTTGTGGCCGCAGCTGTCACCTCCGCCGTATCGGGCCGTGCGCTGCGGCGTGTAGGTCTTTTTCGATATTTCTGGGCGGCGGCGTAGGCGGGCGGCGCGGAAGTGCGAGACCCGGGGAGCGTGTGACAAGCTGACGGCCAGTGCGCAGAACGCGTTATTTTGTGTCATGTGCTTTTAAAAGCATTGTGAGATGTAACATATAAACGCAATGCGCGTCTTGTCGTGAAAACCACGTGACTATTGACAGGGGGGGGGGGGAGAAGAGGGGCTTTATTTTGTTGTTCTTCTCTTTCGTGCGAGAACTTGAAGAATTAAATTGTGGATCAAATATCTTTTAAAGACCGTAAAAACGATTTTGCCATTTCACCTTATATTTAGGAAAGGAGTAGTAGACCTTCTACTTCTAGTTCCAATTTTTATTCTTTACTCATTTGAAAAGAAAAAGTAAAGGTATTATTTGATCTTGAGAACAGTTTTGATGTCTTCATAAGATTATCTCGTTCTTAATATTGAAGGTGTGACATAATATTAAAGGTACAGTTCAAAAAGGACATTAGTTTTTCGAATTTTTTTGAAAAATTTGTTGACATTTTTTTCAGTTCAAGGCAATGAGTACGATCGAAAAGTGCTGCTTTAGGAAGTATAAAAGCAAATAAGCAAAGGTTTGATGTAATATTATCGATTTACGAAATTCGAAGCAGAGCAGGCAAAAAATACACTATTCTGTTTATTACTGAGCTCAGACGATCCATTTGACTCTTATGCTTGATTTGTGTTGTGTACGTTATCAGTGTCTGTAATGTAATAGTACAATACTTTTAGCATGGCGTACACTAACTCTCTGTTATTTTTCAAGCGTCTTTTGCACTTTGTTAGTGATCTCCACACCTGAATAACATAAATGAGTATTAGCTATAAGAATGAGGACATTGGGTATGTGAGAAATTGAACTTTTTGTCATTCTCTTTAATAAAAAACGCCTTATAAACCTCTAAATTTCAAGAAAAAAATTTTGAATATCCATCACAAATCGAAAACAGCATCAAGCCCCTTAAAACGCAATTCCCAACTGTGTTTTGTAAGACTATTCCACAAAACGAGATTCTTTGGAGCCGTTCGTTAAGAGATATACTTAAGTGATTCTAATCGCTAGGGGAGCTAATGCACTTTCAGTCGCCGAAAGGTTTATGAGAGAGTATTTCTTACTCGTTGGTTCTCCTTTATATTTGAGTCGGACGTACCTTTTGAGTTTCCCCCACCCTCTTCTTCCAGGCTGTCATCTGGCGGTTGATTGATTCGTTAGTGATTCCGGGCGCGTCAACTGCTAATGTCATTAGTACTGTAAGTGTACTGCATGTGTTTATCACGGGAGATCTTTCCCCACTGGAAGGTGAAATCCGGAGGTGACCTAACGTCGGTAACGAGGTTTCCCCAACCAGGTATCTCCAACCAGCGAGGTACCGCCCCAGGTATCGCACCTCTGGGCGCACTGTCAGGCGAAGAGTCTTCTCGAGCGCTCCGAATCTTTTGAGCCCATATCAGTCCTGAAACTGTACATAAATCCCCATATGACTCGCTCTATGCTTGAAGCATGTTTCTGGATGTAATATTGCACAATTCTCAGACCGGTAACTGTTAAGGCAAAGGGTTGCGGTAAGATTAGGATTTAGAAATAAAACACGAGGGACTGAATGCCATCTCGACTCTTTTCAAATGCAAACATACACGTCTCACGCGTGGTACGAACTCACAGCCTTACTGTCAAAATACTTCAGCGCAATTGCCCCAAGCTTCTGTGCTATGTTACCGGTATATTTTACCATAGTAATTGTAATAGTTATATAAAATATAATAATCATAATAATTTAATAAACATAATACTGTAAGTAAAACTGACATTTTTGATACATACACAGACAGTGTCCTTTGCAACACTGGATCTCTTTATTTCAATGATATGTATCATCTCTTGATGCCATTGCAACAATGTTAATGTTTCTTTAGCTTTAAATCGAATCGATTTCCTTATCTTTAATGAACAATTTTTTCCAAAATTTATTTGACAAAAAGATATGAATAATATTTACAGGTCATATATTAACCAAATCGTTTAGTTTTATTTCCAGTAATATTTACGTTGAGAGAATTCTGGTTTACAAGAAAATATACAAACATTTTGACACATTTTCTCATATTTTTATTTCCATAATAGTTAAATTGAAATACGACTTCGAGAACAACATAGAAGAGGAAGGGAACGCACGGTAGAGAAACTTGTTATTTTTCACATGATTGGTAAACATAACAAATAACAGAATTAAATATTATACAAAACGAAAACGAGTGAAGAATTGACTTTCAAACATAGCTCTGCTCCTAAAAAACAAATATTTACACTAGAAAGAACTTAAAAAAGAAAATAATCCTGAAATAAAATGATAAGTAGTGAAGTATATAAATACATTTTAAATCTCGGTTTTCAGATAGAAAACATTAAATAAACATATTTTCGCAGGAAGCCACCATTCTTTGGTGTACTTTGAATATGCTCTGCGCTTACACTCCCAGCTTCAGTGTACACCTTTCTGAACTTTGAGGGGAAGTCAAGAGCGAAGTGAGGGGAAGTTTCTTGACCTCGCAGGAACGTCGCGCTTCCCAGGCCGGAAGTAGCTCGTGTGGACACAGTTCGACGTCCCTGATGCATCACATGGGCAACGCTGTTGCCACTGCAGTGTCTTTGACCGGGAGGTTCTAGGGTTCTAGACCCGAAAGTGGCGGAATTTCGACTCTGGTTCGATAGCTAGGTCAAATTCAGCTGTTGTCTGGAGAGTTCGAACAAACAGCTGCTATGATCGGTAATTTTCTAGAGATTATTCGATCAAATTCAGGCAAGTGCCAGAGAAGTATCCCAACAAATGGGCTATGGACCGCGATCTTTCTTCAGAGCCCTTGTCTCCTCCATTCCCGTTACTTACACACACACGCGCCATTCTACACTGCCTTGGACACGACTAGAACACAACATAGACTACTGACAGTAATCTTCTGAACCAGCCTTTACAATCCACAGGAAATTCTTCTCGAATTTAGTTGGGCATTCCGCATCTCTATGTCGTAAATTTTAACACTTAGATTGGAAGCGTATTCGCTAAGTTATTTTACCTTCCGAGAGGCAAGATAAAATATTTTATTTCTTTTTTGTGTTGGTATTAGGCTCCTAACTTTTCTTTAACTTTTCTTTTCATGTGTATCAAAGGACGGTAAAAATTTGGTGCTAGTCCCATTTTAGGTGTGCCCCCATTTGTTTCAAAAATTGCAAAATGTTAACATTTCAAAACTATAAAATTGAAGAAAGAAATTTTTGGTCTTAAAATTTAAAAAAATAGGGCTTTATAAAATGGTCATGTACAAATTTCCAAAAACTCTGTAGTTTGGTCAAAATGTATTCTCTAAACCTATTTCAATATTTTTCTTCAAATTTTGTGCTTGTTCAATGGAGGTAAAAAATAATGTACTAGCCCTATACTGGCGATAATATATATTAATAATATTAATTATTATTAATATAATTATATAATATTAATATAATAATAATAATAATAATAATTATTATTATTATTATTATTATTTTAAAGAAGGTCCCTCAGAATGTGCAAATGTAAGTTCATTTTTTTGGAATCAAGATTATTCCATTTTCATTTTCCTTTAGTGTAGTGCTCAGCTTGCTGGCTAACAGTAGTAAAACTAAGCCAAATCTGTTGCCAAATCTTTTGGAAAAGAAACTTCACATTTCTTCCTAAGTTAAGGATTACATTATTGTTTGTAGTGTATGAATATTATCTAATTTTAATTAAATTTGTCGAGATATATCATATAATTCCTGATCGTTCGCAAAAGAGGTTCAACAGTTTTTCAATATGCGTATATAATTTTGAAATTAGTTTGCACTGAGGCTAGATTTAGGTAGTTCATGGTAAGTTCATGGTAGTTCAAGGTAATGAATGTACCTTGAATGAATTCGCTCAATATTGATATTTCAACGTTCTTAACAGCGATAAGGTCTAACACAATCTGGCGGCTATCTAACACAATCATCTCGAAGTTCCATCGTCGTAAGTGGGAACTTCCGCGATAGTCTCAGATGCGATAATCCAACAGAAGCGTTAAATCTCTGAGAGAAGCCATGGTTTACTCCGACGAGGAACGCTGAGAATTCGTAATACTCGCGCAAGTACAAGTCCGAAAACTTCAGTATAATGGCGTGCTTTCCAATAATTTATCGTCTTTCTCAAGAAAGTTAGTTTGTCTTCTTAGCTCCCCTTTACCACCCTACTCTAAGTAAAGCACGCGATTATTATTTCAATGAGTGTAAGGTTTCATTCAAAGTTCAAGGTGCTCGGTAATCAATCATTAATAGTTACACTTAAATTAGATGTGAGTGAGAGAAGAAACGGTAATTAACCATTGCAGCAAATAACTAGAACTTCAGTGTAGAAAAAGAAAACAAGTCAATGTCAGTTTTAAGATAAAATGTCATAATATTTCCATCTTGACAGCA